ATATATATATATATATATATATATATATATATATATATATATATATATATATATATATACATATATATATATATATATATATGTGTTTTGTTTTTAGAGAGAGAGAGTAACACTCATATGGATATTTTCTCTCGTGCAAAAAAAAATATTATATATTTTTCAGAAAAAAGGAAAGAATTTTTTTTTGTGTACATTATTGTATTTTATTAATATATGATTATTTTTTATGAAAAGATATAGAGAAATAAAAAAAATATTTATGTGGTGTAGATAAAAAAAAATATATTTTTGTGTATGCATATTCCGATATTCTGTGATCACGAAAAATAAAAATATATGTATATATTTAATTATAAAAATTAGTCGATTATTACAATGAAAAAAATTCCTAAAATTTATATGTATATTCATAAAAAATAGACGTTCAAACGAATATATTTGAATATTCTTAATGTTAATGTAGTAATTTATCCAAAAAAAAAATAAGATTGAAACATAAAATAGAAAAGTATAATGAATGTAAAATATGTTAACTATAAGAAAATAAAATAAAACTCCAAAATAGCACTAATTAAGCAAATGTACATAAATTGTTTGTCTTTATTATTAAAAAAAACATTCAAAAGATGATACATGTCAATTGTGGTGAAACTTGTACATGCAACAATATTGTCCAATCCTCTTTTCAAATTGAAAATCAAAGAAAAATAAAAAAAACTCTTTGATTTCCACGTTTCCACATGTAATACATGATTCAATGTCGATTTCTTTCATTTCTGTTTGACAAAACAATAATCGATTTTTGGATAAAGATAAATATATAAGTCAATTAAAGTAAAAAAACAAAATACAAACTTTTACATAGAAAAAATAAATAAATGAAATTACAAAAATTATATGCAAACCGTAACAATGTAGCACATATGACATAAGTTGGATTCGTAAACAACACCTGCAAGAAATACATAAAGAAAAAGTATTAGCATAGTTCTGCTGTTAAATAAAAATATTAAACGGATTTAAACCATCTAAATTAAATTATAATACGATAAATGCATAAAATCAATTGAAAAAAAATTACAAAAAAAAAAAAACCAAAAAGAGAAAACGAAAAACGAAAAACAAAAGCAACTCGAATGGAATGGATGAAGAAGAATAGCGTATGGTGAAATAAATAGATGGGGGTTTATATAGTTTTGATAAGTATATAGTAATTAGGAAATTTTTTTAATTCAAATTTCAAACATAATTATAGTTGGGAAAAAAAAGGTAAGAAATCAAATCAATTCAATTCGGATGATTTAATTACTATTGATTAGGAATTAATTTTAAAATATTAAACAATATTTATGGTTATTGAATATTTTCATTAAACTAACAATATCATTAAATATAATCATCTTAAATAGGTAAGAAATCAAATTTCATATCATAAAATGTATATTCTTACTTTAGAAATTTTAAAATAAATAAAATATACTCGTTTTTTTTTTGTCCTTTTTTTTCTATTTTAATAATAAAATTATAAATTTCATAATATATTATTAATATGTTAATTTGAAATCGAATTTTAATGCATTATTAAACAATATTAATATATTATTTTAATTTCTTTTATTGAATGGATATTCGAATATTCCAGAATATTGAAAAAAAATTGTATTTCTTTATTTTAATATTTGAATATTAAAAAAAATGTTTTTTTTTTCTGAAAATTATTTGAATATTCTGATTTTTTTTTTAAAAAGACTACCAATAAATATATTTTGAAATACTGGAAATGCAAATAAGATTTTTTATTTCGAATTTATAAAATATTAATTTCGGAAATAATATATATACACGTGGTAATTGTTAAAATGAGTGTATATATGTTAAATAGGAAATAACTTAAATACATACCAAAATAAAATTGACAACACATCAATTGAAGAATCCACCTCATCAATTGAACTCCAACTAAGCAATTTTGATAAATGACATCATCATTTGCCACATGTCAATCATTGAGGGCATAGATCCTCTTTTTATATTATATATAGATTATTATTACGATTTTTTTAAAACCATACTCGAACACATGAAATAAAAATATGAAATTATTTACATATATATTGAGTTAATTAAGATAGAGTAATTAGAAATAGTTACATAACTACAAATGAATGCTTTACATATGTATTTACTTAACACAGACAGATTAAGATGAGCTATTAAAAAATTTCATCCTAAATGGAAATGGACGTATAGATTATGTTACGAATGCAAGGTAGAATACATTTTCTTCTTAGTGTTGATTTTAGATAAACATGATACAATTAAAGTGATTGTAATGATTTCCCCCCCCCCTTAATTTGCATGTTTTTTTGTAAGGAGTTTTCCAAAATGGTGATGCATCAGCAAGATGTTCTCTCGAACTCAAGCTCAGGTACAGTTGATATATTTTAAATTATTGCTTCAGACAAGTTAATATATTTTCATTTTTTTGCTTCATACAATTAAGTGATATTATGAAGTCATTGATATCTTTTTTCTTTTCTTAATTTTTTTTTTCGTGATAGATGTATTACGTCAACGAAGACGAGATATAATGAAGAGAAAGTATGCCAGTTTAAGCGCCACGGAGAAACAAGAATATATTAATAAAGTGAAGCAACGGAGACAATCAAATACTGTACCTAAACCAACATCCAAGTTGAAGAACAATAAGTACAAGAATCTATCTCCGGAAGAAAAAAGAAATTACATTCAACATGTTACCGAATCAAGAAAGCAACGACAAGCAAGAAATTATGCGTCAGTTTCAAGCCTTCTCAGCGCTCAAATGATCCCGTATGAATCAGAAGGTTATTGTTCTTAAATCTTCCATTGTATAAAACAATTATATAATAAAATATTTTACTGTCATAGAAGCATATTAATAAATATAAAATTTATTTATGTATATTTCCCGCAGGTTCTGTTTCGTATGATCCAGTATACTCTGAATTGCATGAGTTAAAATCAATGCCCGAATGTATCCATTGTGGTGCTGTCAGATTTGAATACGAGCCTCCAACGTTTTGTTGTGGAAATGGAAAAATCAAACTTGCACCTATTGAAGTTCCAGATGATTTGTACGAGTTATTTACCTCTCAAATAGAAGATGCAGTTGAATTTCGAAACAACATCCGCGTCTTCAATTGCATTTTTTCGTTCACCTCATTTGGTGTCAAGTTAGATAAGGAGCTTGCATCTGCACGACGTGGAGTTTATACTTTCCGAGCACAAGGAATGGTTTATCATGACCTTCCAGGACTATATCCAACTGAAGAAGGTCCAAGCAACTTTCAGTTGTATTTTGTTGATACTGACAATGAGGTTGATAACCGGTTGAAGGTACTACAAAATCCATCTTTATCAGGAGATACTGTGGAGCGACTTATCCAAATCTTGGAGGTAAATCCATATGCAAAAATCTTCAGAAGATTAAAGGACTATCCTGCCATGGATGACGTTCAACTCCATATATCTAAAGATGTGAGATTAGATCAAAGAGTATATAATGCTCCAGGAGCGGATCAAGTTGCAGCTATATGGGTTGAAGGAAATAATGAAAATATACCCTTTGAACATAACATCATAGTTCATGCACATTCAGGTCATAAACATAGAATAAGACACTATTATGGATGTTATGACCCATTGCAGTATCCACTTCTTTTCCCGAAGGGTGACACTGGCTGGCACCAGAATATTTTCAAAATTGGTACAAAAAAATCAAAACATTCAAGACAAAGTGGCTCTGGGCAGTTGATGCTTACAAATGATGAGGCCTGCACACGAAAACAACAAGGTAAAATTCAAATCAATTATTTAGGACCTTTTCATTATTTATTATAATATTAATTACTACCAATTGATATATGCTGAAGTAAAATGTCAGTTTTTGTATTTGAAATTAGTTCAATGAATAGACTATGTTCATTGATGTACTAATACTACGAATATTATGTATTGCTTTTACTGAGAATTGTTAGTACATTTACAATAGTAATTCAGTTTATTCATACATGTTTGTAGTTTGGACCATGTTCAGATAATTTTTATATACGTTTAGATTTATGGACGCTCATTTATATAGTAGGGAGACAGATAAAAAAATAAAAAATAAATCCTCAATCCTCAAGCATAAAGTCAGGGTAGAGAATGTAACATGTGGCATTTAGTATGATGAAAATATTTTAACTGAAATGAATGTTTCTAAGATTTCTAGGTTTCCTTTCACCCGTGAAATTTCTACAATTTTTTTTAATATAATTATAATCATAATTATTGCCAACTAAATTATCTAATATTCGATGTATAATGTGTCGATTTATTTAATTTGTTTCACTTTAATCTATTGATCACCGTATAACATTCAATAACAATACCTTAGGGGATGGTCCTTCTACGACTACTCAACAAATCTTCACTTCTGTGGAGGAAGTTCTTTCCCAAGAACATGAACAAGGTAATCTTTACTTTATACATTAAACATTAAATTACCGTTGGTCATTCTCATAGAGGAAATAATAGAATGGATAAATTTCCTCTTGTTATTTTATTGGTATTTGCAGTAATATCCGGTGAAGACAATGAAAAAGTCTCATGTCGAGAATATAGTTGCTACCGACTTCAGATCAGAAGTTCAAGACAATCTACCCTACTTTTTGCTGGAAGATTGTTGCAACAATATGCCGTTGACATGTATATAAAACTAGAGACAACACGGCTAGATTATTGTCAACGAAACCAAGCAAATTTGAGGGCCGAGCTTTACCAAGGGATTGTGGATAGTGTATCGAAAGGAGAAAGTAGGGGAAGCGAAGTTGGAAAAAGAATCGTTCTTCCTCCATCTTTTATTGGGGGTCCAAGAGATATGCGCCGCAGATATCTAGACGCGTTGGCATTAGTTCAAAAATTCGGAAAACCTGATCTTTTCATTACAATGACCTGTAATCCAGATTGGAGTGAGATTAAAGAAAAATTGTACGTTGGTCAACGGGCTCAAGACCGTCCAGATTTGACAGCCAGAGTATTTCGAGCAAAGTTGCAAGATTTAAAGGATCAACTATTCAAAAAGGAAATTTTTGGAAAAGTGGCAGCACATGTTCATGTAATTGAGTTTCAGAAAAGGGGACTGCCACATGCTCATATGTTGATAATTTTAAAGTCAGAATACAAAATTACAACTCCAGAACAATTCGACCGATTTGTTTGTGCTGAGCTTCAAGATGAAGAAAAACACCCTGAACTCAATGAATTAGTGCTAAAGCACATGATGCATGGACCATGTGGAGATTTGAACTTAAAGAACTCTTGTATGGTTGATGGAAAATGTAAATACCACTATCCACGACCGTACTGTGAAAGTACAATACAAGGTAAAGATGGTTATCCTATTTATAAAAGAACAAAAAATGGTCCGGCATTTGAAGTACGTAAGGCAAAGCTAGATAACCAATGGGTGGTACCTTACAATCCATATTTGTTATCGAGATATAATTGCCATATCAATGTTGAGATTTGTTCAGGAGTGACAGCGGTGAAATATCTTTACAAGTACATCTATAAAGGACACGATAGAGTGGCAGTTCATATAAGCCACAACGATGAAGAAATGGTCATTGATGAAATTAAACAATTCCAAGATGCTCGGTGGGTTTCTGCTCAAGAAGCAATGTGGAGAATTTTTGAGTTCAATTTAAATGAAATATACCCTGCAGTTATTAATCTGCCTCTTCATTTGCCAAATCAGCAGTCTGTAACTTATTGGACAAATCAAAATTTAGAGAATATTTTGGGATGGGATCAAACCTCAAAGACAATGTTGACAGAGTATTTTTCCATGTGTGCAAAAAGTGCAGATGCAAAAAAGTACCTGTATAGAGAATTTCCAGAACATTATGTATGGGATAAGAAATACAAATGTTGGAACGAGAGAAAGAAAAGAGATGTTATAGGACGGATAAATGGGGCAAATCCTATAGAAGGAGAACGATTTTATCTTCGGTTACTCTTGAATCATGTTAGAGGGCCAACATCTTTTCAGGATCTGCTAACTGTTAATCATATGAGATGCTCAAACTTCAAAGAGGCTGCCCAAAGAAGAGGATTAATGGAGTCCGATCAAAGTATAGTTGAATGTTTAAATGAAGCAATATCTTTTCAAATGCCGCATGAGCTAAGAAGATTATTTGCTATCATATTGGTTTATTGTGCACCGACAAATGTGAAGGATCTATGGGATACTTACTTCGATCCAATGTCCGAGGACTTCAAAAGAGAACCAGGAACCACATATAAACTACAAGTCATGAAAACTTTAAAAAGCTTAAAGTTTTTCTTGGAGAGTATGGGAAAAAAAATCAATTCCTATGATCTTCCTCTAATTCCAACAGAGTTGAATGATGTCCTGGATGATTTACCGAGAGAGATAGAAGATGAAATGTCAATTGTAATACCTGAAGAAGATTTGGAAGCAGAACTTAAGCTGAATTCTGAGCAACACAAAGCCTTTTTGACAATCTTAGATTGTATACAAAAAGGAAAAAGTGGTATTTTCTTTATTGATGGGCCAGGTGGAACAGGGAAAACATTTCTCTATCGTGCGTATTTTCTTTATTGATGGGCCAGGTGGAACAGGGAAAACATTTCTCTATCGTGCCTTGTTAGCTCGTGTTAGATCGAACAAACAGATAGCAATTGCAACAGCAACATCAGGAGTTGCTGCTTCAATAATGCCTGGTGGACGAACAGCGCATTCCCGATTTAAAATACCAATAGATGCAAGTGACTCAACAGAGTGTTCTTTATCGAAACAAAGTGGAGCTGCAGAGCTATTGCGTAGAGCAAAATTACTGATATGGGATGAAGCACCAATGGCTAAACGGTGGGCTATTGAGAATGTCGATAAATGCCTTCAAGATATAATGGGAAATGATCAACACTTTGGTGGAAAAGTTATCGTGTTTGGTGGAGATTTCCGACAAGTATTACCCGTTGTTCCTAGAGGAACGATTAACCAAACAATTTATGCGAGTTTGGTCAAATCATCTCTATGGGGAAAAATGAAAAAGTTTACTTTGTCCACAAATATGAGGGCCAAAACTGATCCAAAGTTCTGTGAGTTCTTGCTTAGAGTTGGAAATGGTGAAGAACCAGCTGATGCCGAAGGGAATATCAAAATTCCACAACAGATGATTATTCATTATGATAATGATGAAGACTCGATACAACGACTTATTATGGCTATCTTTCCATCTCTAAGTAATAATTCTCATTCTGCTGCTTACATGACAAGCCGGGCTATACTCACAACAAGAAATGAGAATGTGGACAAATTGAATGAGAAATTGATATCTTTGTTTCCTGGGGAAGGAAGATCATTTCATAGTTATGATGAAGCGATTGATGATGTAAACAACTATTACGAAGAGGAATTTCTTAATTCTTTATCCCCGAATGGTCTCCCTCCTCATAAGTTGTTACTCAAAATAAATTGTCCAATCATTCTTCTAAGGAACCTAGACCCATCAAACGGATTATGCAATGGTACAAGAATGGTCTGCAGAAATTTCAAGGATAACGTAATTGATGCAGAGATAGTCTTTGGGCAACATAGTGGAAAACATGTATTTATACCTAGAATACCACTTTCCCCAGCTGAGAATGAAGGTTATCCATTTAAGTTTAAGCGGAAACAGTTTCCGGTAAGACTTTGCTTTGCCATGACAATTAATAAAGCGCAGGGACAAACAATTTCAAATGTAGGTGTATATTTGCCTCAGTCCGTTTTCTCACATGGCCAATTATATGTTGCCTTATCAAGAGGAATTTCAATGTCCACTACGAAAGTGTTAATCAAACCAGACACTCCAGGCATTAGAGGAAAAACGACGACAAAGAATGTGGTGTACAAGCAAGTGTTGGCTGCTGGTAAATTTTAATTTACTTCTAATATTTGCAATATATCATTTGTTATTGAAAATAACTAATGTTGTATCTGCATGTAGCAGGTTGTATCACAAATGGGTAATATGATGATGAAGAATAGTCATAATGTGAAAATTAATTTTATTTTAATTTTTTTCAATTTAAGCAATCATGGTCTTATTGAACATTTTCTATTCTTATGTATCAATTTATCTCATTGGAACAGGCATGATGATATAAGAACTACAGTAAGACGAATATCTTCAGTCTTGTGCGAAGAGCTTCACAGAAGATTTGTTTTGGCTTGACTAGCGAATATAGCATTAAATAATGAATTCTATCCGATTTAGTTCGTTTTGGTTGATTTCATGAATATAAAAACATAAATTTTACTTTCTTCACTATTCTATGAACCTGTTATTGTAAGTTACACAACAAAGGCTGCTCATTATGCTTTGTTTGCCATTTTCGCTTTTCTCTCAATATCAGAGCTTTTGATATTTTATGAAGCAACATAATTTACTAATTCAAAAACTTGCTATACATGTCCTTATTCCAGGGAACGAAAATATAGAACTGCATTATTTGTAATACTCTGTTAACATTTGTTTATGTACCTTGGGACAGAAAAAAAAAAATATTACTAAGATTATGTATTCGGGAGAATTATACTTTTGGTCCCTCATGTTTGGCCTGATTTCACTTTTGTTCCGCCTTGTTTCAAAGAGAACAAGGTTCACCTCCAAGTTATATGTCCGTTAGCAATTAACGGAAAACACTATTTAGGGGTGAAATTTGAAATTTTAAAAACTTTTGGGGCTGAAAATAATTATTAATTTAAAATAGACTACTTATAATTTTTAATAATAAAAAAAGAAATTAACGAAACAAATTAATTTTTAATATACTTAATATAACAGCTTGTCCCCCACCTGGGGGCCCTGCCGCAATTTTTTATTGTTTGACGAACTTTACTTTGGAGGACAACACCAAGATTGATTATTTGCAGTTTCACCCCACCTGGGGTCAAAACAATAATTTATGTTGGAGGACAACACCAAGATTCATTATTTGTAGTTTGACCCCCACCTGGGGTCAAAACAACAATTACCGTTATTTAATCATACTTAATATTTTGGACACCCACCTGGGGTCAAAACAACAATTACAATACTTAATATTTTTGACACCCACCTGGGGTCAAAACAACAATTACAGTTATTTAATCATACTTAATATTATTTTTAATTATACTGCTTATGATAAAAAATTAATAACAAAAAAATAAATTAACTAAACAATTTATGTTTAATTATACTCTATATTATTTTTAATTATACTACTTATAATAAAAAAGTTAATAATAAAAAATAAATTAGCTAAACAAATCATTTAGATTTATACTTAATATTATTATAATTATACTACTTATAATTATTTTTTTAATAATAAAAATTAAATGAACTAAATAAATTATTGTGAATTATACTTAATATTAGTTTTCATTAGACTACTTATGATTATTTTTTTAAGGGTAAATGGCAAATAGGCCCATGACAAGAGCACTTAATTAAAAGAGGGACATCCAACTTTTTTGTCTCTCAAATAAATCCACATCATTCAAACTTATTTGCAAAAAAAGGAAAATCCTATAATATATACCAAAATTACCCACAATTCATTCAAACCCAATTCGACTCCAATTTTATGATTTACACCACAATTTAGCCCAATTTCATCAATTAACCAAATTTAAATTTAATTTCAATTTTGACCCCAATTTATATCCGTCACCACCGGAGTCCGCCTGTCAGCCGCTGTTGGCCACCAATCTCCGGCGTTGACTTTTTTTCCCTCTTTTTTTTTTTTTCTTTTTTGAATTTTTTTTTTTTGAAATTTATTTCCGGTAGCACAACCGCCGTTGCTCGCTGGGTCTCCGGCGTTGACTTTTTTTTTTAATAATTTTGTTTTTTCTCAATTTTTTTTTTAATTAATATTAATGTCTTCACTACTAAATTACTGTCTCCAACAGTTATTTAACTGTCGGAGACAATAATTTAACTGTTAAATGACATTTTTTTTTCTTCAAAATATTTTAATTAATATTAATGTCTTGGTTGCTAAATTACTGTCACCAACAGTTGTTTAACTATCGTTGTCTCCAGCAGTTATTTAACTGTCGGAGACAGGAATTTAACTGTTAATTGATTTTTTTTTTTGTGAATTTTTTTTTTCCTTAAAAAACATTATTTAATTAATATTACTGTCTTGGCTGCTAAATTACGGTCTCCAACAGTAATTTAACTGTCTCAGACAGTTATATTAATAATATTACTGTTCGGGAAAATAATATACATTAGCCAAGACAGTAATATTAATTAAAAACAATTAAAAAAAAATCAACGACGTAATCTGGTCGGAAAAAAAAAATTCAGAAAAAAATTATTTTCTGAAAAAAAAATATTTTTTTCAAAAAATTATTATTTTGGGGGTTAATGTGATATATTTGTTTAAATCCGAGGACAATGTATAAATTAAGGAAGTTAGAGCATAATGGATGTAATTGATAAGAATTATATTATGGAGGGTATTTATTTGAAAGACTGTTTTTTTTTGGACCAATGTGCATTTAACTCCCTTATGATGGGCCTTTTTGTCATTCCCCCTTTTCTTAGTAATAAAAATAATAAAAAAATAAATTAACTAATTAAATTTCATTACTTAATATTATTAAAAAATTAATTATAAGTAGTCTATTTTAAATCTTTAATTAGTTTCAACCCCCAAAAAATTTACAATTTTAATTTTCGCCCCACAATAGTGTTTTCCGTTACTTGCTAACGGACATGTAACGGCGGGGACCAAAAGTAAAATCAGGCCAAACATGAGAGACCAAAAATGTAATTTTCCCAATATTCATTCATAACATAATAACATATACTAAAAGTCTAAAACCCAATTTACTTGTCAGTTCATTAAAAATTTAAAATAAACAAAAAAATAAGAAGAAACAAAATCTCTCATAAACAAATTATTGTAGGCTACAATAAAAGTCTCTCATAATTAAATACATTATAAACTGTTACAGTTTGATGGATAATAAAATGGATTTATTTATGATATCAGGAGCACACGATTCATCATAAACGTATTAAAATTAAAATAATTAATGACATCAATAGTAAAAGTGTAAGTTTAACAGTTAACTTTTATTTCTTATAAATCTTTCGAATTCTCAGAACATAAAAAAAAATAACATACCAATACCAAGAAAGTAACTTATCTATTCATTAGGACAAATAAAAGTAACAGACAAATAATGATTTCAAGTTTAAGAAGGGGCTGAGGAAATGAAAAGGCATTTATTTATCATACGCACAACAACTTTTACTATATATTCACACTCTAAAGAGTGGCATACTCACTAAAAATTCTGGTAAGTTTCTCCACTTTCATATATTCTACAGGGTATGGTAGAAGAATTTCATTGTAGTAAAATTAGTTAGGGGAGGTTGACATACTATTAATCTTTCTCAAAATACTTTTTGAAGTTTTATCTATCACCCACAAATTCTTTTTTTATGCATCACGATTCGTTTCATTAATCATTTCCATGTAAATTTCCCATTTTAATATTAATTCCTTGCGTCTGTGACTTTTGAAACAAAATAAAATCCCCGTCCCTTTATTTATTCGATTATGCACAATATAATCACTAGCTCCTAAACTTAAATTACATTATGCCCGTTATTCACTTCAATCTCACATTTAAAGTTTATTATTTTATTTTTTTCTTTTCAGCACATACACCACATGGTTTTCCTTTTTACGGTACATTTTTATTTTTTGTCCGACTGCTGGTCCCATGAGATTATTTGACTTAGTTCCTTTATTAAATTTAAATGATGTTTTCCTTTCTTACACAATTCTGTCGAATTAATTTTTTTCATGCAATTTCATATATACAGTATATCAAAAAAGTAGGACAACAAAGAAAGATGCCTGGAGATTCAGCAATTACTTTAAGGTCTTTACAAGTAGACCAAAAATCATGGACCGTTCGTCTAAGAGTATTAAGACCTGGGAGTGAAATAGCATGTGGAACAAATTTATTGTCAAGGATAAGGAAAATGATCATGGTTGATGAAGAAGTAAGCACACTTTTTTACAGCTTTTTTTTTTTTTTTTTTGAAAAAGAGAATGCTATAATATCATATTGCAACACATTATTTCACAGGGAACAAGGATTGGAGTCGTAATTTTCAAAGATGAAATCCAACAATTCAATCATATATTTGAGAATCACAAATCGTATGCTATCTCTAATGGACAAGTCCAACGGAGTAACCAGGATTACTTCAATGCACACCCACTAATGGAGTTGGTCCTCAAGAAGTACACAACCGTCAAGGAAATTGGTGAAACAATCAACGTAGATAGTACGATAGTCTACAACTTCATGAAGTTTCCAGACATAGATTCAACTATTCACAACAGGAAAGCAATAGGTAAAAAAATTCAAACCAATAAGCTCATAAATGCGTTATTATTTATTACAAACAAAACTCAATTCTTCTTCTCTCAGATGTCTGTGGAATTGTTATCAAGGTCAAGGACAAGAAAAAAACACATACTGCAAGAGGGGCTACTAAATATGTGCGAGAAATAACACTAATGGACAATGAGTAAGTAATTCATTAATATAAATTTACTTATATGTTTCATTTTATTAAATTTGGTTAGTACAGATGTCACTCGGTGATAGTTTCACTTTGGGAGGACATGGCAACAAATGAAGGAGGTGAACTTCAAGAAATTGCAGCTGAAAATCCCGTCATTTCACTAGCACAGGTCACAGCCAGAAAATACCAAGGTAATTAATTAGTAACTGTAATATCAAAATCGGGCTTTAACATAATCTCTAACCTATAAATATATTTATTAGGTGAATTACAGTTACAAACAACAATGGCGTCGATAATGCAGATTTACCCAACAAATGATGAAGTTCAACATCTTCAAGCATGGTACACGACCATACAATTCAATATATAAAATCAAGGTTCTGGTTAATTTTTCTTTTTTTCTTTATTCACAGGTTAGCCCAAATTAACGATCCATTGAAAATACAAGCATTAGCAATGAAGGAAAGGATAAAAAAGGCAAACAAAGTTACTCTTCATGAGATAATACATAACAGATTTTTACTATCTGAGGTGAGATCCAAAATAAATGAGTTAGCATGTCCTCATGTGATTAAAATCAAGCTAACTGATATTTTCTACTTTATAGGATGAATATTATTTCTTCAAAGCTACTGTTAATAAGGTAGAAAATAAATCATACATATGGTATGATTCATGCACAAAATGTAATTCAGCAATCTCCAAGAATGGTGATACAATGGCTTGCAGAAAATGCAACATCGAACCGTCGTAAACAACACCGAGGTACAAGATTAAAAAAATGACCATTTTTAGAAAAATACCACTACCATTTACTTAAATAATTAATTAAAAATATAAAAATGCATTACAGATACAGGTTGCTTCTAAATGTCACTCAAGAAAATGAGAGAGCACTTATTACTATATTTGAAGAAGCAGCAATGTTGTACGTTGGATGTCCAGTCAATGAATACTTGATGTCAGTGGAGAAGGTAACATAAAAAAATATACTCACCATTTCAAACTTCACTCATTTATAATTTTTGAAAACACAATACCATATTACGACTATTACTAAAAAAATAGGTTTCTCTTTTCCAATTTCAGGAAGAAAATGATTCTAAATACTTCAGGGGATTGAGCTTACAAACAGGAATGGAATTTCAATTTCTCATTGCACTTAACAAGAAGGCAACCATTGTTAATGGTCAACTCAATGTTGTGGCGGAAGCGATTGAAAAAATACAACTCGAAAATCAAAAGCCTGCAAAACATGTTGACAAAATTGTCCAACGAAAAAAACTCAACACCCTTCAAGATGAAGACGAAATACTGATGGGTACCTCGAAGGCTAAAAATTCCAACACTACAACAAAGAGGCGACAAACAAAGAAAAATATAAATTGCGATGAAAATGTCTACATTTCCAGTGATGATGATGAGACAATACAACAATTATTCAAGAAAATAAAAAAGAAGTCAGATTCAACATATGGAAGCAAAGATGTTCAATTCATTCAAGTGAAAAAGGAGAAATCGTGATATTAATGAAAGAGGGAATACAAACTTATGTACTTTGTTGAGTTTGCATAACGTTGTAAGTTTCAGCATTTCTTATTTCAAGCAAATAAAAAATAAATAACTTCTTCCTCATTTCATGCAAACATCAACAAATATGTTACCAATACGTACATTGATTAGTAGATTTTAAAGGCTTTCATCATACCCACGACCATTATTGATTGAGTGTTCTAAAAAAAACACATATCAACGCATTTTAGTAAATAAATATAAACAACCATTAATTTTCATAATAATAATGCATCATAGAATACTTCTTATGCTGGACATTTAAATGACACTTCGGATTCCATACTTGACTATGAATGACGAAATGACTATGCACGTGCAACGCACGTGTCCTTTCCTAGTATTGCTAAAATATGTGAATAATAAATAAAAGCAACTACAGTTTTAATTTTACGAATACAGTCTTAATTTAAAAAAAATTCTTTACGAACATGGGAATGAATGGTTGTACATTTTTTTCCCTAATTTTGACCGATACAGTCGGAGATCGTCGGTCAGCCGCCGGTCTGCAACGTTAACTTTTTTTTTTGTAATTTTTTTAAAAGCCATTTTTTTTCTAAACAAACATTTAATTAATATTACTGTTAACTTTTTTTTTAAAGCCATTTTTTTTTCTAAACAAACATTATTTTAATTAATATTACTGTCTTGTCCTGTAATACTATTGTCGGAGATAGTAATTTAACTGTTTGAGACAATAATATCAATATTACTGTCGGAGAATGTATTAATTAAGGGACTATCCGACAAAGCCCCCTCATTCAATTTCTTAGGAGGAATAAATCCAACTTTTAATCCCATTTTAGATCAGAAACACTTATCCTGCAGATCCGATCGGCTTTAGGCGAAGCCTGATCCCAAATCTTGTTAGAGAAAATTAATTTCAAAGCAAGTCCAAATGATAAATACGAAAAAATTCAAAGACTTTCCATTATGTAAACAAATTCAAGTTTACTTAAACTAGGGGTGAAAGTCGGATGGATCGGATCGGAATTAGCATTTTCGGAAAATTTCCAAAAAGTTTTGGAAGTACAAAATCAATTCCAATTCCAATTCCAAAATTTTCGGAATCTAAAAATTCATTCCAATTCCAAAAGGCCCGGAAATTTCGGAATTTCGGAAAAAAATCGGAAATCACATAAGCTTAAAATTTTCAAAACTTAGCAAAAATTTTCTAAAAAGTTTATAATTTTTAAAATAAGACCGTCCACGTCGATAAAAGTAAAACTAACAACTTCTAAATTTTAGTTCAAAAAATAAATAAAAATGAACACAACATAACATCTAATACAACTTCTAACAACAAGTCATCATGTCAAAATCCTAAAACAAAATTTATAGATGTATTTTTCGGAAAAATAAACATTGTATAATATTTATTATTTATAGGTGTATTTTCGGAAAAATATCGAAATTTTTCGGAATTAATTTCGGAAATCAAATCGGATCGAAAATCGGAAATGTAGCACCCCCCTTCTAGACGGGCGATAAATCGAACCGGTTTATCGGAATATTTATTAAACTAGCGGAAGCAAAGGATCTCTTTGTAATTTTTGAAACATTGGAATGGGGTGAAAATGCAATTATCAAAACTTTGTTCTTTTGAGTATTGACGGCTTTGCATTTTCGAAAACTTTGGTGGATTGCTTTAGCCGAATACAAAGCTTGATTCAGAAATAAGTTTCGAAAGGAGGTTTCTCATTCGAGTGCTACATTCTCACTAAACGTTTTTCGGTTCGAGAATAAATCAGATTTCGAAAAGGTTATTTTTGGTGAATAATTCGAAGTTTTCTAATGAAGGCATGAGAATAGCAAATTACGAAACTTAATATATTAAAGTAGGAATTAAGTACGATTCAGAATGAAAACGAGTTCAAAAGTACGAAAAGAGAAATGTTACGGTTTAGGGTTACACCACCAAAAGAAAATAACCAAAAGTCTAGCATCGTTCATAGGTCCTCGTACGTCTTCCAAAATCCCGGGCAAGACCTCGATCCACTACTCGATCCATCCCGGTTGAGGATTACTACTACCTGCAATTAAAAGACATCTATATGAGCTATAAAGCTCAGTAAGAAATCCGAGTATTATCAAACTTTGGAAATACGTTATATATATAATATATAATATTGTATACCCGTTCTTACCCACGTTTCGCACAACAACACAAGGCAATCGGTCAAATCACATATCTCACGAAAACACATCATTTAATAAGATCACGTAATTATTCAAAATGACTAAAATGCCCTTTTTGTGAAAATCATGAAAAACACATTTTTCGTTTTATCGGATCCGTGAAAGATTAATTTTTGTACCGAATAATAAACCTGTTACGAGCCCGTTTTCACTAAGTGGAATCAAACCACTACACACATCATCCTAGTTGGATACCGGCCCACTATATCCGAGTTGTTTATTACCCGATATTCCATTAATCTTTCAAATAAAATCATTTAATGCAACTTTTCGAAATTATGCTTATGACCCACACATAACATCACAAATGTCAATCAAGTGTCACAAATCACACAAATACCACAATTTACCACATTTTTACAATTTGGGCAAAAATCCCCAAATTCTCACATATAAACACACCACCACACACGGCACACACCACATGCACATTCAGCACACACACTTACACATATTCAGCACACACACATGTACAATCAACACATTAAACATCACTAATTACTCATCAAATAAACTTAGGAACAAATACCCTTTTTTTCAATTCTCATTAAATGGACTTATTACCACTTCTAGGTAATAATCCATTTCAATCAATTCCTCACAGCCATTAAACACATCCAGCAGCAAATCAAAGTGCAAAAATACCAAAATTCATAATTCATGACCATTAAATCAAAACATGAACACTTAAGGCACAAAACATATGTAAGTGACATGCAATTATCCTAATTTCGAAATATTAGCAAACAAATCCCAAAAATTCTCAAATTAAATCCTAGAACTCCTAACTGACTCAAATTCCAGATTCTGAAATTATTTTAAAGTTTTACAAAGTTTCAAATTTTCTTGAAATAAAAACTAGAAAAATCCCTTTTTCAATTTAAAAATCCAAAACTCTAATATAACTCTAATTGATTTAAAAACTTGTTAAATAAAACTTTTTCCTATCTAATACTTGCTGAAAAACAGATCCAAACTTTAAAAATGAGAGATTTTTCGGAAATTGCAGTTGTGACCCAAAAGTTTCGAAATTTACACATGCAACCACACTAGAAGTTCAAAATCAACTTTTTCATGAAAACCCCTAACAAATCTGAAATTCCACTTTACTAGATGCAGAAAATGAAGTTGAAAAGTTGCTTTATGCAGAAATTTCGGAAATTACATATTTTACCCCAAAATCTCTAGATCTACACATGCAAGCCTACTAGAATTTCCAAATCAACTTTTTCTTACAAAAATTCTTTAAATTCGAAAATGTAGTTCAATAAATTGCTGGAAAACAGTTTTGAAAACATTTTTCGGACAGATTTTACAAAAATTACAGATTTGGCCCCAAACTTTCGAAAATCTACACATGCAACCACAAAAAGTTAAAAATTTTATTTTCTTGAAAACCCCTTTTTGAAATCTGAAATTTTTAAGGCTTTTGGCCAATAAATGTTGTATCTAACCACTATCAACATAGATGATGCATGCAAGAACAAGAATTTAACAAGAACACTCATTTTTCCATTTTTCTTCAAAAAGCCCTAAATTTTCGAAATCTTCCCCAATCTTTTAAAATTTCATGAAAATCCTTTCAATACTATTGATGTCCCTTAATTGCAGCAAGAAATCGAATTTCTTACCTTAAAATCGAAGAAAGAAAATAGCCGAAAGGGAGGGGGCTTTCAAGCACCGAAGTCCAACCAAGCCACCTTGATTGTGAAGGAAATGGTGTGAGCTTCAAGGAGGGAGGAGTTGTGATCTCCCGTAAGGAGGCAAGTGGTTTTGATGGTATTTTTGGAGTAGTCTATGGCAAGAGTTAAATAAGGAACTCTCATTTTATTTTTGGGGTTTTCTTTGAAAATGGGAAGTGAGGTGGAGAGAGGAGGGCCGATGATGGTGGTGATGGCTTCGGTGGAAGGAGAAGAGGAAGACAAGTAAGGGGTTTAGGTGTTGGGAAAAAAAAGATGAAGGTGTCTCTTCATCTTACAAGAAGAATGTTGAGTGTAGGTTTAGCTAAAATGATTAGGGGTTGTCAAGTGTAAATGCATGCTTATTACTAATTATTTTATTAATATAATGACAACTTGCATAAACACTACCCACACACACACACACCATCCGAACACACACACATATTTTCGGATATATATATATATATATATATATATATATATATTCAAATGTATAATGCAAACATTAGTATATATGTATGTATACGTATGCATGCATGTATGTACGTGTGCATATAGGTATACATATATATATATATATATATATATATATATATATATATATATATGTATATTCCACATAATTTACCAAGAAATTTTATCAAACAAATAAAATACGTAATTATTCACATAAACCACGTAAATCACGAAATTCCATAGTATTTCAATTTACGGAAATTTAAATCATATAAATCACACATGTAATAACACATGTAATTATTCACGTAAGTAGTATAGTTAAATTCACGTAATGCATATAATCACGTAATAATATTTCCTAAGGGTTCTCGAGTTAGGAATATTAATCCCGGGTTTTAGGATTTTCGGGTTTTGGAAAGGTGGGGTGTTACAGGAAATTCCAAATTTATTTTGTATAATTCCAATTCCAATCCAAAAAAATCGGAAAAATTCGGAAATCGGAATTTCGGAAGTCGGAATGAAAAAAGTTGTTCCAAAATCGGAAATTTTCGGATCGGAACCGGCGGAAATTGGAATTTCCGTTCCAACTTGCACCCCTAACTTAAACCGATAAAAGTTTCAAAATACTACAATATCTTGACGATCAAAAACTATAATACTCAAACGAGGGTCTCTTTCTTAGACTCCGCATCTGTCGAACAACCCTGCCCTCTTGGATTTATCTCAAGAAAATGAAATATTTTTGAGTCTACACTACCTGTAAAAGTCATATTGGGGTGCTTTCTCAAACAATCCTTAAAAAATAATTGAACATGAATCACTTATATTAAAATAATGTCGTTAATAGTAACCAAAAATAAATTACTAGAACATACAGATAATTTTGCCAAAGTTTTCAAATTAAATCTCAAATTTAAGAAAAAATATTATCTATAGAGACTCACCTAGCACTATTATTGGTATTGCTATTTTTGCTGAAATCTCTATATTTAAATATGGAAAAATTAGCAAGACCCGCCTCATTTAGAAAAAGGCGGCGGTTATATGCAAGCCCATTTTTTTATTAGTTCAAAACCATATAAAGTAGTTTATTAGTTCAAGCCCGTAAATAAATCTAATTTTATTACATCAAGACCAAAGATGACAAATATACCCTTATCCACAAATAATACTCAAATACAAATAAATCCTATTTTTAATTCGTTCAAGACCAAAAAAAAATAAAAATAAAAATAAAAATAAAAATAAAAATCACGACTGTCGCCGCGACGCCGACCAGCGAGACTTCCACTGCACCGACGATGACCAGCGACCCACCCACCGCACCACCACCAACAAGTAAGTCTTTTTTACTAAACTTTTGTTTGTAAATTCGAAAATATTAATCGAGCATCGATGTCCTTTTTACTAAATTTTTATTTGTAAATTCGAAAACATTAATCGAACATCGATTCTTTATAAATATGTATGAACAAACATTAATCTATGCTTATTTCTTGTTGGGTTGCAATGATTTGGCCGATTTTGGAAAAAGAATGAGACTGAAATTGGTTTTTTTTATTTTTTTCGTTGGTTTCCCAAATCGGTTTATCCAGACCGATTTTGTACACGAAAATCGGCGTCATAATGCCGATTTTTGTTAACCAAATCGGCGACACAACGTCGACTTTACAAGTCAAAATCGGCGTTTTAATGTCGATTATTGAGTACAAAATCGGTTTTCGGATACCGATTTTTGTTGGATTTTTTTTCTTCTAAATAATACATTATATATTTGGTTAATTGATATTTTTTAAATATTTGAAACGAAAATGTTTATCACCATTCGGTAGCGTCTACCACTCCTTTAACCCAATCGAGTAGAGTTTTCCGTGTCTCAAATATTTATTCGTTAGATAATTCATTTGAATAATTCTCCATCAATCCCCTAGGTTGATGCACGAAAGTATGAGAAAACGGTCTTAAAAAACACAGATAATAAAATCGGTATTTAAAAACAGATTTTTGTAGTACAAGTCGGTACGACAATACGATAATACAAAAACAAATCGGTGTTGTCATGCCGATTTTTACTACAAAAGTCGGTTTTCAAGTACCGACTTTTATTAAAATAATCGGAATGTGGTTACCGACTTTAGTAACAAAAATCGGTATTTGCAGACCGATATTTTGTATCGTCGAATTTTTTTCCCAAAAAAAAAACGACCCAAAAGCAAAAATAAACGATTAAAACATATTTCATTGTGTTCTCCACCCTTGTAAACCACCATATCATTGTTTTATGGTTCCATCGTGAATGTTTGGTATGTATTTTATAATTTTGATGTGTAGGATTTCTTGGTGGGTTTGTAAAGAAGAAAGAGATTTTTAAGTCGTGAAATAAAGAACTTTATGTATTTTATTTGGTCTTGCACAAAGGAAATGATTTTATTTTTATTTTTAATGTTTGTGTTTTTCATTTAATTTTAAATTTTATTAAGGGTAAATTAATATTTTTATGATGGAGGTCTTGAACTAATAAAAAAAAAATGAGCTTGCATATAACCGCCGCCTTATAAAATGATGTTAGGTAGAACTTTCTCAAAAAAATAATTTGAGGAAACCCCGTTAGATTATGTTGTAGCTAATCTTTAAACATTAAATGTCAATACTACCCTTATATTGTACATTGATTTTTTTTAGTCACATTCATCTTCTCTTTTTCTCTCTATCTCGCACATCCAAATCATAGATCTCATTTTCTCTCTTTGGTTTTTGCTCACTGTGCCGCCGTTGCCGCTTTTTAATTCCGGCGAGATGGCAACGGCTCTTCTTGATTATAGGACGCGATGTTTCGACAACGACGTCGTTCTCTCTTCTTCTCAACTCTCTCTTTTTTCACGTTTTCTTGATTTTTTTTTCTCTTCAATCTTTTTCGAAGCTGCATATTTCTTCACGGCAGTAGTGTTTAAGGCGGCGCTTGACCGTGTCATGGTGTTGTTCTCCGGCTGCGTTATGGTGGATTCGACCATACATTCGTCGTCCGTGTAATCAAAATCAATCAAAACAACAAAATTAACGGTTTTAAATTTCAGTGGATGACGACATTGATGGTGGAGGATGGTGATGATGTGGTGTGGCGATGGCGTGGTGACGATGGGGAGCATATCTATAAATTTTTGGATATATCGCGCAGACAGAGAAAATCCGTGAATATTGGATCCTTAATCGACTACATTTGATAGTCGATTAATGCTAATCGGTTATGTTTAGTAATCGATTAATGTTAATCGACTGTATTTTTTTAATTTATTTTCTGATTTTTGTTTATTGAGTACTTATTTTGCCACAAGTTGTGGGGGCATAGTAGTAATGGTGCATTTTTGTTATGTCATTGTTAATTCATCATCCAATTTTTATAAATTAATTACATTTTTTGTATATTTATTCTTTGTAAGAAATAGTTGAGTTTTGTTTTCTTTATGTAGTTGTTTTTTGTTATTTTCTGCGGTTGGTTGTTTGATTTTATTTTTTTATTGACTCGTGTTTGGTTTCATTAACAGCATCACGGTTGTTTTGTTATATTTAGTAGTCAAGGTCATTATCAACAAGTATTTTTGTAGTCAGTTACTAAATCGACTAAGGCTGCGCCTTAGTTGATAGTCGATTAATATACGTGACAGTGGAAAAAAAGTTAAAAAAAAACGAGAAAAAAGAAAAACAATTACCAGCAATATAAAAAAATAAAAAATAAAAATTATAAAAAAATAAAATTAAAATAAAAATTAATTTTAGAAAACAAAATAAAACCAAATATAAGGTTAAGAGTAGTGGGAAGACGATATCGGAAGCACAATTTTGAAATTTGAAAGTATGTGAAAGAAGTATGGACTTATCTCATATAGTAGAATTAAATGTTTGAGGGGTTTTTCCTTAGAGAGCCCCTTAAATAATAGACTCAATTTATTATTTTACTATTTGGAAATAATTTTAAAGGGATTATTTTAGAGATCCTTCATTTCGAAATATATATAATTAATTACTATGTTGTTTATATTGACTACTATATTGTTTACACCTAAGTGCAAACTCTTTCCATTTGGATAATAATTTGACATACCCCCTAGCGCACCCTAAAGTACCCAAAATACTCTTTTAAATCTGTTATAAACCCTAGCCAACTTATATCGGTCTTTATATTCCTCTCTCAATTCCCACATCCAAATCCCGCCCCCAAGGTCTATAACCGGCGATATTGCTTCCCAGAGCCATAACTCTCTCTCCGGTGGTCGGAATTCGATGGTTCAACTATCGTTGGATTCCTCTCGTCGAGGTCTTTCTTTTGGTGGGTATTTCATTCAGTTTGGAGTGATGAATCTATTTCTGCAATTTTTTTTAGTCGGTGTATTTTGACAACGGTGGTCTTACCAGAGGTGTAATTTGTTTTTCGCCAGTCGGAATTTGACAGGCTACCCACCGTTGGATTCCTCACGCTGGGATCTATATTTGATGTCAATTTCATTCATTTTTATTTTCAGATTTATTTTTATATTTTTTATATAATTTTTTTATTTTTATATTTTCATTTTTATATTTTCAGATTTATTTCTCTCGATCTCTTATTGTTTGTTGTTTTTTGAGGATGTTTCTTTATTTTTTGTTGATTTGCACTAAAATATTGTTTTTGTTTTGATTTTGCAATTGCAACTTAATGAAGGTCATTGATCATTTCTTTGAAGGTGTCAAATTTTTTGGTTCAAGTTACATCCGCTTTGTTCAACAGACTGTATACATTACTGTACATTATTGTACATTAATTACTATACATTACTATTATAACATGTAGTCACATATGCATATATTTGTGTATTTTCGATTGTATTTTATTAGTTCTGGGGTGATTTATAATATAAATATTGAAATTTGTAAATTTTTGTTGTTGGGGTTTATGAATTTCTTTTGTATAAGTCAATATTCATGTGTGTGTATAATTGATCGACTAAAAATATGGGTTAAAAAAAAAATAACTACGCATTACTATAATTTACTATATTGATTTGAAATTAAAAAAAAAATTAAAAAAAATAATAATTTTTTTTAAACATTAAAATGTATTATGATTTATGTCATCCACCTGTATCCATAAGGCGACACGGAATCACAGTCCCACGTGCCATCTTCCACAGTAGATATATATTGAAAAAGAAATCACGTGAAGCAGTAAAGAAAGAAAAATGGTGATGAAATCTGTCGTTTGGCGCAGCGGACGGTGTCGTTTCATAGAAGGCAACTGGCGATCGCCGGCGGCTTCGAGCCGCCGCTATTTCAGCGAGGACAAAGGCCGCATACTCAGCGAAAAGAGCGTGCTATGGAAACAGTTTACATACAGGTCTTTTTTTTTTTTCAATTATTTTATTTTCTAAAATACTTAATTTGAATTATTAATTTCCTGTGTTGATATTTTTCTTGCGGTGAAGAAAATGGAGAGAGAGAGGATGGAGAAGCTGAAAAAGAAGAAGGCAGCGGAGCAAGAAAAAACTGACAAGGCCAAATCTAACCAGGTAAATAGAATATATTTTTTTTTTATTTTAAAAAAAAAAAATATATCTCAAAATTATGGAAAAGTAATTTTATACTTAAGTAATTTGAGTTCTGCTCAACTGTAATATTCATTTATTACATTATATGTTCCTTTTGCATATTTTTTATTTATTGTGCAAATTCCGTTTCTACATATACTGGACAGTGGCGGAGCTAGGAATTCATCGCTGCGGGGCCGAATATACATAAATAATTTTAAATAAAAAAAAATAGTTTAAAGAAATTAATTGCAACAATGATTGTTTCAAGAGTGGCGCAGCGTATGATACTGTTACAGGATGAGTTTAAATATTCTCGGGGGGGCATGGCCCCCGGCCCTACACTGGCTTCCTCACTGACTCTACAGAATTTGAATAGAATACCATCATTTTAATTCAATATTTAGAATTTGTTGGTTTCTGAGCAGCTTCGGTAACGGCTTATAAATTGTGTTCTCCGTCATTTCAAGATACATCTCGTTTTCTTGATTTTTTCGTTTCGTTTTTGTTATCAGAAGGGTGAAGATGAAGATGCTAATAAGATTTGAAGTACGTGGCTTGTCTACAACACTAAGACACTAAAAAAGTTAACCCGACTGTGCAACGTAACTCTGGTTTAGGCTTTGATCTTATTGTATAGAGGTATGTGGTTTTTTGTTCTACTATATATAAAGTACGTAGTAGCCCTTTGTAAATCCAAATTCACTTTCTTTAAGCTATCGTTCGTACAGTTTTCCTTTCTCGATGAGATGGTTCATTCTGTTAGAACGTACACACAAAACGAGATCGACAGTAACTAGGAACAACCATTGTAGTTGCCACTTGTCGGTTCGTTCATTGCAAAATAAATTCTACTAGTTCGAAAGCCCTTTTTTTGGAACTACACATCGTTTCTAATTTCCTTGATGAAGCCTCTCGCTCTCGTTTGTACCATTTGACGAACTAAACTATCGATGCAAGAGTTGTTTCTACTCTTATCTCCGAACAAATCTTTCATTTTTAACGCGTTCTCTCTCACTTCTCTCCCATCTTCGCTAACCAACGCCAATTTCACAGTCTTAGCCACCGATTCGCTCGTGAAAGATCCGTCTTTCTCGTTTCTCGGTATTTCTATTCCCACTTTCTTGTCGTGCAAAAGCCTAGCATTTAAACCTTGATCGTTCATAATCGGAAATAATATCAAAACTCGTCCGAACCCTAACGCCTCGGTTACCGAATTCCATCCACAACGAGTCAAGAATCCTCCAACTGCAGAATGGCTAAGTATCTTGATCTGTGGGGCCCACTTTGTGTAAACCATTCCCCTGTTTTTAACTCTCTCGATAAACCCGTGCGGGAGCATTTCCGATAGATGGTTTCTGTTTAGTACCCAAAAGAAAGGTAGGCCGCTTTGCTCCAAACCGAGGGCTAATTCGTGAGCCTCTTTTTGTGACAACGTAGCTTCGGTTCCGAGTGCAACGTACACTATTGAATTCTGTTTTTGTGAGTCTAACCATTCTTTGATAGTCGGCCACTCTGTGTCGTCATTATCGAATTCGTCTTCTCTCTCGTCATCTTCTATCGGCAAAACGCCTATTGGGATTATTGGTTTTTGGTAGAGTTGTTGAATTAGATCGAACCACTCCGGTTCGAACTCGACGTAGGATCTGAAGATCACGATTTCGCTACCGTTTATAGAGAGGCCGAAGCGTATGGAATCCGATGTGCCCGAGTCATATTCATTGCCCTCTGCATCTGTTTCCGATCGACAAAAACAAAAACAAAACAAAAATCACGATTCTTAGAATTTGTCCAGATAGACTCGATGAATTTGCTATTATTAATTTAAAACACAGCTTCAGATTCATAAAAATTCCAAATGAATTTCATGATTTCATCACCTTTTTCCATGTTCTTGGTCATTTCATGAAGACGAAAAGCCACGTCGCTCGGAAACGGGACCCACTCCGGCACGACGGTATAGTCCTCCGCAGTCAACCTGCCGTATTTTTCGCCGAATATCAGAGCATCCGTCGGCCCTAAGAACGACATGAAAGCAGCAGTGAAAAGACTAAAATACCCCCTCGAGATGCCGAATTCTTCGGCCAGCGGCGGTAGCCAATGAGAAGCGTAATCGTACACAATCCAATCGGGTTTCGGCCTTGCTCTCTCAAGAAAAGAACGTACACATGGCTGGAGCAAATCGAGCGCCACTTTCAACAACTGCTGTTTTACATGAGGTACGTCCATCGACGACTCTGCATTCGGAGGCAAGTTTTCGACTTCCGGCAAAGGAAAGGCGATTAGATTTATGAGATGGGATAGTTCTCGAGGTACTTTGACGATTCTTTGAAGGTTTCTTGGCGTTGAAATGAAGGAAATTCGATGGCCTTTTCGAGCTAAGCATTCGGATAAACGAAAGAATGGCCGAATATGACCTATTGCTAGCCATGGAAACATCACTATGTGAAGAAACTTGCCTTCTTCTTCTTCCATTATTGATGGGGGAGAGAGATTGAAAAATAATTGTGTCTAGTGAGAGAAGAGAATATGAGATGTGGGAGGTTTGAAAAGTTGGATTTTAGAGTATATATTATCTTGATGATTGATATATATTTGTTTTTTTTCCCACCTAAAAAGACAAATTATTGAGGGGCCATTTGCGACAAGTTGTGTTTTAACTATTCTTTTCTTGTTTGTTTTCTTGCTTTCATTATGAAGGGATAAGTATGTCAATTTAGTTACTCACACACAAATGAAAAAAAGTTTACATTACAAACCGCTCCTGAGGTAAGATATATTTATGAAAATCCTCTCTTTTTTTTTATAATTACATCGTCCTCCTGCAATACAGTCAGGGTGGGTTTTTTGGCTACTTAAATAATTTCATGTTCAACCTAATTCTGAAATACCTTTTTAATGTTGTTTTGCAATTTTTTTAATTTTATTTTAATTTTTTTAGAATAAATTGTTTTCTAAATTTTAGATTTTGTTTTATACTTCAAAGTTATAGTCTAAAAAATCTATTTATTTCTAAGCTTAATCTTTAAAGGTTTATTCATTTTTAAGTTGTTAGTTATAAATCTTTGTTAAATACATATCTAAAAAAGAAGAGGATAGTAGCTCGTTAAGAGGAACCGAATCCCGAAAAGCAGGCATAGGTGGTATTATCGGAGATAGCACGGGGCATTTGTAATGGTATTTGCAAAGAATATTAGTTATACTGCTAATAATAAAGTGGAAATGTGGGCTCTCTATTTTGGGTTAAAAAATCAAAGGAACTTGATATATGTATCGACTTATCATAGACTCAGACTCATCTTTTTTTCTTTCTTGCCTACAACTCTTCTAATCGACCTTCCAGGAATATTGACTAAATTCTCAGAAGTTGTGGTTAATTTTTGCTATCAGGAGCTTAACAACGTAGCGGATGTATTAGCTAAACTGGGGTCATATATGCATCCTTAGATACGGATGAAATTTTGTTATATGATAGTTTGTCCCAGTTTTTTAGATTATCATATGTATCAAGATCTTTTTTCTGTGTACTCTCTTGTACAATCTAAGCTTTATAATCGTCCCATGGTTTTAAGTTCCTAATATAATATCGTGTGTCCGTGTTCAAAAAAATGTCTCAATCTTGACCAATCACCAACTTGTATCAAAACACTTTTTGCATTTATTACGTACAAATTATGCCACTAATCCAATATTTTGATGAAAAAATTCGACAATAAAAATTAATTATTTGAGCAAAAAATAAAATATATCACCAAGTCACCAACATAAGTATTTAATGAAAAGTTTTGATATTATTAATTTATTATCAATAGCTACTGATAATGTATTTTCTTGAACTTACCCAAAAAATAAGATAACATGTTTTCTTGTGTAATTAGTGAGCACAAAATATTCAAATAATAAATATATATAAAAGATATATTCATGAGACTATGGGGTAGAAAGTTGGTAGATGCAAGTTGGGTTGTACTTTGGGCTTAGTGGATGGTCCCTCCTTTACAGATAAAGATCCATTGAACGTGGCGCCAAAGTTCGAAGAACCAAAAAAAAAAATTGCAAAATAATATACTATATTGAGTTTGTTGAAATGGTTTACATTTATTAATAAATTTTAATTCTTTCAATTCTAGGGTGTTCATCTGGGTTCTTTAAAACAATCGAACTGCACCAAAATAAAAATTAAATTCGATTAGGTATAAAGTCAATCTAACATATTCAATTCAATACATTTTGTTTTTGACTTTTTAGAATTTTCTTTTTTTATAGTTATTATAATAATTATAAATATCCGTACAATACATGGTGATTCGTCCCCAATAATAGATATATTGCTTGGTCTATTTAAGGAGTTTGACCGGCTACGGAACACCCTGAAAAATTGAGGTCGGTCTGTACAGAAAAAAGAAAATTGGACTGAAGTCGGAGTTAGCACTCTGATGATCAAATCGGTGGATATTTGTATGCGTTTTTAAGAAAATATGTGTAGGTAATTGAAAAGATAGATCTTGCTTCTTCGTGTACACAAGTCTCATCACCCCTTTGTGAATGGGATGGAATCCTCATTCGATTCCAAAGGGCCCCCAAAACTAGGTTGACAGTCTCAATCGCCACTTAAATCGTTGTTTTTGCCTATTTTTCACACGTCTTGTGATAATTTAGACTGTCATCATCACATAATCGTCTAATCGTTGTTTTAGGCATGTCCAGTGTCGTCGGATACTCATGCTTTAAATGCTTGTGTTAGGGCTGTCATAGCAATAAATACACTTGTCAGAATAACACTTGTCAGAATAATAAATGCACCTGCCCTCTCGCCATTATCCGAGTTCTGTATCAGCTCGCGAGGTCGTCCTCGTTTACAGGTTTACAAGGACGGGCCTTCCAGTGGGGCTTATAGGCATGGACCTCTTTGTTTTGTGGGGAAATTAGCTGGAAGCCCCTCAAAATATTCTCTATAGCTACAAGGACAGATGAATTTAATTTGTCTTTTTGCTAAAAGTCTTTGTGCGTTTTCGCGCTCTGGATCTGACGTTAGGTCTGGAGTACTTCTAACGGAACTACCTAGGAAAACTAAAAATAATGACGACGCGGTGATTTGCACAACTTAGTTATATTAGTAAGGAACAAATTAGTTATATTAATAATCAACAAATTAGTTAAAATAAACTGAAGAAAAAACTGAAACAAGTTTAGATGCATTCCACAACACATACACAACTTACATAGACAACTTAGAAAACTTATTTACAGAGCTTAGTTATATTAACGAGCAGAAGTTTAGGGAAAAAAAATGTTTTTCATGTAATTTTATTATGAAGTTAGACATATTAGAAAGCTTATTTGCATAGCTTAGATACACAACTTAGTTAAAATAAGCTGAAGAAATAATTTTAAATCTATCGTGCGCACATCACCGCAACATTACCATCATCATCACAAAACAATTCTTCATATTGTGCGCATGTGTGGTTGCTATGTATATTTGCTTGTGTGTTGTTGCTTGGCGAAACTTCGATGGAATTTGACAAAGAACAATTAGGGTAGCGCGATGAACACTTCGATGAAATTTAACGAAGAATAGTTATGATAGCGCGATGAAGACAGGTGTGAAAAATCTAATCTGAAATGATTGAATTTAACAAAGAACAGTTAGGGTAGCGCAATGAAGACAGGTGTGAAGAACCTAATCTGAAACGATGGAATTTAACGAAGAACAGTTAGGGTAGCGCAATAAAGACAGGTGTGAAGAACCTAATCTGAAACGATGGAATTTAACGAAGAACAGTTAGGGTAGCGCGACGAAAACATGTGTGAAGAACCTAATTTGAAAGACAATTTGCGTTCATGGATGTTTCAAAATTGCCCTTAACATGGATGATATTTACTCTCAATTGTAGTAAATCCTACCTTATTTAATAATCTACCAACATCGATGAACCATGTATGATGTAACTAAAACGATCTTTCTAAATAATTGAATTGAATATTCTAAACTTAATTCAACATATATCTTAAAGAAAATATGAGCTAGGCAGATAATTAACTCCAACAAAAGAATAATATCATAACACCAACCAACCAACCAATATTTTACCCAAACTAGAACTAAGATAGAATTTACACCTAAAAAAACCTAAGCAACTGAAGAAAAAAAAAAAAAAAAAACCCTACCAAACTCCCTAAATTAAATGTGAATTTACAAATTCACCTGCTACTACATCCATCCAGGAAGCTAAACTATATATTTTTAAAATATATACACAAAAACAGAATTAATCCAAATTTCCTAAAGTCTTTCATCTAAGGCATGTGAAAACCAAAATCTTGAAACCCGTCTTGATTATGGAGATTCGGAGCTACAGGCACTGTCAACGTATCGGTCACAGTCGTAATATCATGAATGCTCGATCTTTTCCTCTCCTTTTTGCCCGAATTTTGTCGGAGAAAATACTTTTGAGCATGACTAGCCACCTGCGTTGGAGTTCGTGTAACTACCACATTCCTCGAGATGCTCCTCCAGTCACCCTTCCCGTATTTGTGTAGCCCTTCTAAAAACAACCTGCAAAAAAATAAAAACAAAATACAGACAAAAATCAATTCATCTACTTATTACTATCAACACAAAGAGTTGTTACAATTTTTGGTCAAGTGCTGAAATGGCAATTTGCTTCTTGTATCATAATTTTTCCCATGATCATAATATTGTTTGCACTACTACATTATATACCCGATTCTCTTCGTTTTTCCGTACGTCTGTTATAATATACGTTAAATAAAAAAAAATCTAACGTAAATCTTTAAGATTTACATAGTTCTGAAATAGAGCTCCCACAACGAATTTTGCAAATAAAATTATCAGTTGGTTCCGTCGGTACTTCAAAAGCTATTCCAACTCGAACGAAGTCTTGTAAACGAGCTAAAATCTTTATTTCCACTTACATTATTGCTATTTCGATCGGTGTTTTTTTATCTCGGCATAAACTTATAGCAATTAATATAGTAATTAAATTATCAAAGGCTCGTTCAAACGCACAGATTTAGAACTCGAAAATGGATATACTCGTTCCGTTTATTCGTTCTGTCGAAATTGAATAAACAGGCTCGCGGATGAATTTACTCGTTTTACGGTATCTTCAATAGCAAATTCAAACGAAAAGGTTCTCTGGATTCAAAATCCGAAGACAACCAGAAACAGAGCTAATAAACTTATGATTGAAACCTAATTAATTCAAAATACTAATTAACTTATTTAATGATTCCATAAAAGAAAAAATTACTGAATAATTGTATTTTTATTTACCCCTTAAATTTGACAATTATGAATTGTAAATAGAATTCGATTAAAAAAGAAATTAAAAAAAAAAAACCTGTGTTCATCTTCGGTCCAAGGGGTGCCTTTCTTTCTATCAACTTCAGAGTGTCGGCTCCGATTCCCAGACGACGGTGACCCGAAAGAGATCTGACCCGGCATACCCGACCCGAGCGAAGCCGAGTCATCCGAATAACACGGCAGCTCAACAAGGCCCGAGTCAATCCGGTGAATATCATCCAGCAGATCATCGTAGTGGTCCTTCACCTCCTCCGGCGACTTTGCCGGAAGAAAATGAGCGATTCTCCGCCACCGGTCGTTTACTCCGTCGGGAATTTCCACCAGAGCTCTCTCGAAGATTTTGTCCTCCTCCCTGGTCCACGACGGCGCTGCGGCGGCGGCGTAATTAGCATCGATACTGTACATACTTGGATAAAATTTCATATAATAATTTTGGAGTTTTTGGTTTCAAAGAGGTTTTGCTGATGAATTTATGTTGGATTTTTTCTCTTTTTTTCTGTTCAGGAGAAGAGAATTTAGGGGGATTACTTGAGGGGTTATAGGGATATATATATATTTTAAATATATATATATATGTGTGAGGAGAGAGAGAGTTTTGGAAGGTTATTAAAATAAGTAGGGAAATGAAGCACGTTTTTAGTTGTAATTGGTGGAACTGGATCTCCATTAACTGTGTTGTTTCTCTCACCTCACCCGGAAGCCAACTTCATTTTGACTTCTTTTTACATTAATACTTTGCTTTTTCCCTTTTTTTTTTTTTTTTTTTTTTTTTTTTAGATTTTTTCACATCATTAATTATAATTATTAGTCATTTCCTTTTGCTGTTTTTTTTTTTCTTTTTTATATGATGAACACCAATTTTCCCGTTTTATTTTTTATTTTCGGTTTCAGTTTTCGAACTCGATTTCACGTAGATCTCTCTCTCCCGTAACTGACTGACCCCATTCTCCTCCCTTTCTTGTTTCTCGCCCCAGTCAATTGGAAAAAGTTAAAAAAGAAATTGAAAAAAAGAAATCGACAATTATAATTTATATATGAATTTACAATTTATTACTTTATGAAATTATTCTTATTGTTATTTTCATCATTTTTTTGTTTTTTCTATTTTTTATTTTTATATTATTCAATGTAGTGGTGTACTTAGAGGGATAAAGAGTATAAAACTCCTTTGTGTTATGATACTTTTTTTATTATTAAAACCTTCTAGAATTTTAGAAGACTCGAACTCGAGTTCGAGCCCAATTATAGTTATTCGACAGCCCGCGAGCAGTTTTTTAATTATTATTATTATTATTATTATTATTATTATTATTATTATTATTATTATTATTATTATTATTTAAAAAAGATAGAACTATTTCATTAGTTAGTGAATAACTAAATAGTAAATAGTCTATAATAATAAATATTTCTAGTATTTAAATTTTAAATAGAAATTATCTATATTATTAGATACTGTAGAATAATATAAAATATAATAATAACATAAAAACAACAGAAAAAATTGAAATATATAAATTATATATATAACTAAATTTGATTATTTTATAATTTTTTTCGTTATACTACAAATTAGTATTAATAAAAAAATATTAACAATTTAAAAAAAAAAAAAAAAAAACACCAAAATGAGCACGAACTCATCAAAATTGCCTGAGCTTGAGCTCGAGCCAAAAAACAAACACAATGAGGCATAGCTCGAACTTAAGCCTGCCAAAACAGCCAAGCTAGGCTAGTTCACACTTCACACTCCTAATTGTTGTGCAATTTTATGAATTATGATGAATTTTTATTATTATTTACTTGTTAAGTTTCACGTGGCATCTAATAAAAAAATAGTTTATTGACATATTGATATACATAGTTAAGTTAAGTGGTGTTTGCAAACGTTTTTTCAAAGTGATTATGAACTTTTTAATGTTTAGAAAAAACTGATTTTGAACCAAAAAATGCTCATAATCATTTTGGAAAAGCGTTTGCAAACACTATTTTTGTCTAATACAGTTTACGTCTCTTGGACAATTTGTAAATTATTATACAATAGCGTAAATTTATTCAGTGCACCTTACAGTTGTTGCGACTTCCTTCATTATTAAAAACAGAAAAGGAAGAATATATGGGGAGAATGTGTTTACACTGAAGGAAATATTTGGTTAAGAAGCTATCGACAGTTTAATGAAACTTAAACACGTAATCGTTTTTTTCTCTCACTTGGTCGACATTGTTAAATTTTTTTAATGATGTAATGTGTTAATATAATATAGTCTTAATTCTTGTACACTTCATATATATATTTATTTTAAGTTAGAGTGATGTAATCTTCTAAAGAAAATATTAAACCCATTGTCGAATTGTGAGAACTCCAATGAGTTAAGCCCATGTTTGGCAATAGAGTCAAAAATCAAAAGTTGCACCTAATTCCGGACTTTAAACGTTATATATTATTAAAAAATTGTACGAGTAACCAAAGTACTATCAATTATAAACACTTATTTATGTTCACGCTTGATGGAGCAACAGAGTGCGATGCATTATTTGATTGAGTTCGAATTTTCTGTCTATGTTTCTAAGTCGAACTTGTCAAACAAAATTGGTTTAATGTAGTTTACATTTTACATTTTCAATTCAATTTATAATTCATTATTGCACGAAATGGAACTTATCAATACAATTATCAAATAAATAATAAATATAATTCTTTACATAATTAACACTTACATTTTTTGTGGGTTATTTTTAGGAAAATTACAATTTCATCCTTCAAATTTGGGTTAATTTCATATTTGGTTCCTCATAAAAAACACATCTGGTCCCATGTGTTTGAATAATTTAATATTTTTGGTCATTTCCGTCAATTTATCGTTAGTTCGTCAGTTAAAGCAGTGACGGAAACACACATGATTCCGTTAGTACTACCAAAAAATTGACGGAAAGGACGAAGTGCTAAATTTTGGAAACATCAGGGACCAAATATTTTTTTGTTAACACGGGAGATCAAATGTAAATTTGGTGCAAATTGAGGGACGAAAATTGTAATTTTTCCGTTATTTTTATGCTACATCCGGTAAAAATTGCACATGAAAGACATTTATTGTTGATCAACACACATCAATATGGGTGCATATGTATATTTGTGGATATATAAATAATAAAGATGTACCTGATATATTTTACCCGATGTAACATAACGTAGACTGCGTTTGGTGCCAGCTACATAGTGGAAATAAATGTAGTAATCATGACATGCATCTTGTAAAGATTTATAATATATCAATAAATCTAATTAAATTCAGTAATCAAAACTTCACTAAAAATTATATTTACGTAATGGGTTCATCAAATATTTGATTTGTACCAATATAATTAATTTAAATAATCAAACAAATTATAAAAAAAGAAAGAAAATAAGTTGTTTAAATTGAAGATTTGAATCGTGTCAAACTAAGTCATTCTTGAAATTGTCAATTGGCTATGTTGTTTTGTTTGACCAAATGTGCATGAATCCATGAAGGGGCAATGTCGGTAATTCTTGTCTTCATTTGTTTTCGGCAGCTGTCACTTTAAAAAAGCCCAGCCTCTCAACAACTCTACAATATTAATAAACAAAACTCGTCTACGTGGCCGAACATAGTGCGGCCACGTTTCCCGCATGAGGTAAAAGTTACAAGTAGACAAATCCTTTTTTGGATAAGATGGATTTTGCCACGTCATACTCTCTGTTTCTTAAATACTATTCAATGAGAGCCACCACTTTTTCCAGCTCATTGTTTTATTTTATTTTACTTAAATGTAGGTGGTTTTGGATTTTATAAATGTTCCACTCGTTTAAATATATCGGGTGATTTTAAACCATAGATCTACACATAATATAAGACATAGACATGTGTATTTAGTGGATAGCTAATTCTATAGATCTACGATTTAAACCACTCGCTGTATTTCAACGGATGTAGCATCTCATAAACCGTGGTTATAAGTTCAAATTGTAATGAAATTTTAGATTTATGCTGATTTTAATCCGAAAGTTTCTATTTTTTCACTACGCCCTCCGATTTTAATAAATTTTTTAAAAGGAATTAGAACTATTATATTTTCGAAAAAGTTGGGGGTTTTTTGTTAGTGCAAATTCTAATATTAAATATTAATTAATGCTACTAATTGTGTGTTACTTGTCAAAGAAATACTATGGATTCATATTTTGTTAATCTAGTGATTAATGTAATAATATAGTTCTTTTACATGATTGAAAATGCATCTTCGTCTATTGTCTTTAATTAGAATTCAATTTTGCGTTGCAGTGTTCTTTTTCTTGCGAAAGAGGCTCTTGGTACTACTAGGGTAGTCTTGCAATTTTATAGTATATATCAGTGCTCTAAAAATCAGCCGAAGCAGCCGATTAATCGGTCTCCGAGGCGGAGGCGGTCCTAAACTTTTACGATTTTAGTGTAAATGTTTGAAAAACTCGAGTCCAAGTTCGAAAAACTCGAGTCTGAGTTCGAGCTTTTTTCGAGACGGTTCATCTCGTTTACCACCCCTAGTGTTGACCATGATTTGAATCTATCTTACCGAGCACACACATAAATCTTGAGCCCAAAAACAAAGTTGTTTCTGGAAACTAACACTAAGTAGAATTGGGCCGTTACAACAACAAATGCACACACTAATCCAGAATTTGATGGTAACTGTTAAATGGGCTTGAATTGGTTGTTTCTTTGAAATTATAGATCCGATCAAAAAGTTGCAAAATGTGGCCCAAATGATTTGATGGGCCTGTAAGCCCATTCCACCTTGATCTATCAACCACCATGCCAATAGGATAACATTTGATCTCATCCGTTGGATCTAATCTGGTTAATCCTGACCTTAGAATTCCTCACTTAAATACTTATCTCTCTCTTTCATTTGTTGCAACCATAATTCTCTCCATGCCGTTGTTCTGTCTGTCTTCTTCCTCCTTGTACTTACTAGTCTTACTGGAAGTCAAATGCCATGGTACATGGCTGACTTTGACTTTCCAGTACAGCCTTCACCGACTACATTTGACTGGAGGCCTATATATATTGGGTGTACAGAATGAAAGAGGATAAGACACATAAATTAACCTACACTTAACCTAAATCCCCATTTTCTTCTGTTGTGAGGTATAAGATATGATTTTGGCGAGTGTATAAGCTTTGAGTGCTTACTCTGTGCTTCCCTTTGTGGGTTTCTGGATGAAACTGGGTCGAGTGAAGACATATAGAGAAACCTTGATATACCTGTGGTTGTGGTGGTGGTACTCTGGTGGTGTTGGTAGTTTCGTATGTGGAATCTCTGGTGTGTATTGTAGAATATGAAGACTAAGTTGTATTCTCAGGCCCCGTTTGGTTGGCAAGATAATATTAAATAATCTAATGAAATTCAATTATTTTATTGGAGTTTGAAACGTCCAACAAAAAAAACTCATTAGAAGGCAAGATAAGCCAAGATAAGGCAAAATAAGACATGATCATATAATTTGACGGATCGACCCGACAATTTATTGAGGATACCAAACATCAAATTAAGTCCAAC